GGATGGATGATTTGATGTGGCCACGGCCAACATTTGAAAGAGATAAGTTTCAAAAAATAAATGCCAATGAATGTTCTTTCGAATGATAATTAACATTCTCCATTAAATTTGAAATTTCTGTGTTTTTTTTTTTTTTCTTTAGAAAAGTAGGGAACCTCGAAATGTATCACCCTTTGTATTTAATGCTGTTAAACTAAGCTTTCAATTGCGCATTTAGTTCGATACACATGCTCCAACTCCTTTAACCCGTCTAACAAATAAATTTTCAGAAGATCTGCACAGTAGGTTATCGAAGCGTACTTCTCCTTTGAACTAAAATTTCTGCCTGGCAGTTGTTTACTAACTTATTGAATTTAGTGGTGCCGACGGCGTTCGTATTGAAAGAACGCTTTTTTCTTCACAAAATGGGGCAATTCAACCAGAGAACTTAAAGCATACATATATACATATGCATATATATGCTTTAAGTTCTCTGATTCAACGTGAAATCAGCTCAATAATTTGCAACAGTTGCTCTTTGACCATTTTTTCCTCCTCCATGTAGTTGATGTTGATCACAACATGTATATATCAGAAAACTAGACTCACTACCTTCCTGACCGATGGAATCCTGAGTAAAGTCCACTACTTCGACGGTTCAATGGACATGTGTACCACGGTTTGCTGACAGTAACTAAACGAAGAGTGACTAGTTTTTTCCGCATTTTAATAAAAACAACTTTCATATCATTAATTTGATGAATAGATTTGCCACATCTGCGTTTATTTATATAATTATTAACTTAATTGCAAATAATACAGTTTATTGTTTTACTTCACAAGTATCACGTGTACAAATATTTTACATAAATAATTTTCCCTACAATTTGCTCATGGATTTTTATAAAAAGTAGTCTAATTACATTCTAATTATATTATCACAGGGATTAATTACATGACTAACTATAAACTACATATAAATATTTATAATTAAAGATTGCCGTTAATGGGTGACGAGGTGTTTGCTGTTCAAAGTCAAACTAGAAAATCTTTTGCGCTATTGACACGTGTCACTAAGTAAGGACGCGCCTCGGTGGGACAGCGGAATGTCTTCAATAAAGTAGGTTCATCCATAATACTTTTATTGTCTTCGTCTTCAAGCATATTATTCCAGAGATAATTGGCGCCTGTGAGAAAAGTAATTTAGTAAGGGAAATTTTTTTGTATTGAAAAAAATATAAAAACAAATATAAACACTTAAAAGATATATGCTTATAAAATATTCGATATTTTTTAAACAATTTTTTTGTGAAAACAAAATACATATATTCAAAAACTTACTAATCGCATGACCACGCTGACTCAAATGGAAGCAGTCCTCGGACAGAAATTTGAATTTCATTGCGTCATCGTTACTGGGAAAGAAATCTTCGAATAGTGTAAACGGCTGCAGATTAATGGTGAATGTCTTAAAAAAAATATATATATTTTATTACATTTTCAAAAATTTGTTGGAGTAATCTAAATAAAACTAAATTCATTACGCACCTCCGTATTAAACTCGTCCCTATTCACGATCTCTTTGTCCTTCGCAACCCAATCTTTCATCAGTTTTATCATTTTTACCAATTGCGGCTTGGGCTTACCCACTAAACAAGGGCATTCGAATGACAAGGTCGTATGACAAACGGGTGTTTTCGTACTCAAAGGCACGAGGAAATCCAATTTTGGCGATGGCACTACATTTATCATTAGACGTGGCACATTATCACGTAAATAACGAAAAGTCTTCACCATATTTTCTTCATGCTGCTTGATCGCATCCTCTGGTCGTGGCAGAAAACAGACGTCTGAACAAAAGTCGTTATTACCAATGAGTAGAGTGATAAGCTTCCAATCTGTGGTCATATTCACTTTCGGATCACGTGACAAGCGTTTGACTAGCACTTGCGCTTCGTAAGGTATATCACGTGACATGGCGCCCAACTCAGCGACGTTGAATCTGTGTTCAGAAGTTGGAAGAAGCAATTAATAAACAACAAAAATGTATCTAAACAAAAACATTTGAAGTATAAGTTTATCCAAAAAACTTCACTCACTTCGAACTGCGATCGGTGGAGAGCCCATCTTTCAGCGAGTAGCCATACAAGTTCGGATTGAATTCCTTCAAAATATTTGGCATCGTTAAATACTGTCGCCAAGTGCCTTGCCCACCAATACTCCAGACCATACCTCGATTCTCTACCGTAATGTGTAATAAATTTGTCGCGAAAATACCGTTACCAGCTGTTAGTGAATCACCCATAGCACCAACGATATCTATATCACCGGGTCGTAAACGATGCACCGATGTCGGGCGTGTTTCACTACGTTTTCCGGGTCCATTCAGCGCATCGCAGAAATTCACCAACGAACGCGCGCGTGTGTTGAGATTTTGCGTTTTCTAAAGAAAGAGGAAATTTAAACTTCCGAGTGACACAATTTTTGTAACTACTATTCACTTACGCCCATATCGCGCACAAGTTGTCGATTATCCGGATTGTCACCTGAACGCCCGGCAAAATTTAAGCCAATCAAACGTAGGGGTCGATACAAGTTTCGGAATGTGACATCCAACGAAGTGCGTTGTGTTATTACAGGGTGACAGTTGTGACACAGTAGTGCACAGAGCAATAGGTGGTATTTAATTGGTGTGCCCTGCATTTTGTATGTGGTTGTAATTGAGCTGGAATTCAAATATATATTGGAATTATAATCCTGTAATTAAATAATGTGATTTATACCTATAAATATATGTATATGTATGAAAATCCTAAAAACTTAGAGAGTGTGTAAACGAACAAACAACTTACATAAATCAAGTAGAATAATTTAATAAAATAAAGATACTGAAAATATTGGAATAAAATGTGTTCAAACCCTAAACAATCGATTTAAAAATGATACAAAAACAGCTTCAATTACATGGGGACTGGGAAACGGAATGCGATTAGGATTGTAATCTTCAGATCTACATTTAATCTTAACTCATAAAATGTTAAAATATCCCAACAATTAAAGCATCTCTATCATAGTACTAAAGGGCGTTAACAAATTGCCTATTCCATATTGAATGTAAGAGCCAGGGCCGGATCCACGGGGGGAACTGAGAGAGAGAGAACACTGAGATGGCAGCATTTTTTTCCCATAATCTGAACAAATTGCTTTGATTGGAAGGATATTCAGAGAATTTTCGAAGTTTCAAGACCGAAATGTAACACTGTTTTAGCTAAATTCTTGGGCAGAAAAATTGTGCAGCTTTGTAAGAAAAGGCAGGTACAAAGACATGATGACGTTCTTCAATTCACTGTCACCCTTCCAGAAATCGTTCAAATACTGACAAAAATAAGCGAATGGAAGAATATAACGATTGCAGCAAAAGCGTCAAATTTAGTCACAGTACTGTGCAACTTCAGATTTATTATTGGAATTTTTTGTTTCAGTGATGTTTTGTCACTGACGCAGCCACTTAGTGTTCTTCTCTTATGAATGGTCTATTCATAACAACATTGGGTGCAACACTGAACATGCGAAGAATGAACGCTGATCATCACTTCAATGCAATTTTTTCAAGTGCTACATAGATGGTTTAAAAATTAGGTGTTGAAGTGGAAACCCCATAATATGTGGTCATCAGAGTCATCGAAACAATCAACCATCTCATTGCAGGGATTCTGCATACATTCCACTCATTGACACGGTTATGCAAGAGTCAGCTGTTACCAAAACTTAACCTAAATTTGGAAGAAAAGGATTTAACTGCACTCATTGAATGCCTAATTAGAMGTTTTGGGAAAATCTTGCCCAGAAATAAAGAACAGCAGAAAATGAAGCTGAAAGCAGAAATAGCGCCCTTTCAACAACCATGGAAAATTAAAATGACTACGAGAACACAAGTGCTTTTTGTCTTAAAAATCCTCAGTATTTGCGATAAGGATATATATCCGTCGATTCATATTCTCCTGCACGTAATCTGCACTTTGCCAGGACAAGTTCTAGCGCTGAACGATCCTTTTCTTCTTTGCGCCGAATCAAGACTTGGCTCAGAACAGCAATGCTCAAGAAAAGATTGAATAAACTATAAAATTCCTGTGGAACCAGAAAAACAATAGAAAAATTTAGTAAAATGAGCAAATACCGTATTGATTTTATGCTGTAAGTTAAATGTTGAAATATGTATAAAAAATAAAATTAAAGTTTAAAGTTAAACACTTTTTAAATCAATTACAAAATCATAAAGTAAGCAAAATGCTGAAAATACCGTTTTAAATGCAATTGGTGAAAGAAAGTAACAAAGTTTTACCCAAAGATACGAGTAACAAACAAATAAAGTAATCAAAATTTGACTATATAGCAAATATAATCTAAAATTTTATTCGAGTTAATGAACTTATAATGTATGCAATAAAATATTAAGCAAATCTAACTACTTTTATGACTCCGTTTTAGTATTCAGTAGCTGTCAACCTTGACCTACATATGCTTAATTAAAGTGAAAAGCTTAATCCACAAACAACAAACGGTAGCAAAAGAAAGCMAAAGTGGGCACGCATTCCGGCATTTACTAAGTGTTTTATTGAAACAGACAGAGCAATGGCATAATATAAAAGTGGTAGTCATAAAACAAAACAGTTAAAAATATCATTTCCGATACTGCGACTAACTCGTGGCGCGCGGCGAATAGTAAACACAGTAGTAAAACAAAACGTGAAAATAAAAACAAAACAAACCAAAAAGTTAAGCCAAAAAACAGGAAAATAACTGCTTTAACGCCAAAAAAGAGATCGAAAACAAAAGCAAAACAAGCATACATATGAACTGGGGTATAAATATGTATATATTTAATGGCAGCCGCTATTTGGTTTATTGACCTCACCAAGTTAATAACTGTAGATGCGGACTAGCTACGCTTTTCTTAATTAAATGAACT